TCAGGCAAACTCTCCTGGTAGCAACAGCTGCTCAGTCTACAATAAACAGTTTCTGCTCCATAAATTCTTTTTCTATGCAATCAACAGACAGTAGATCGACAAGCATGCTGTCTAAAAAAAGGAGTAGGAGAAGGAAGGAGAAGGAAGATGATGAAGGAGAAGGAGAACTGCAGCTTCTAGAAGAAGGTAAAGGAGAAGGAGAACGAGAACTGGAGCTTCTAAAAGAAGGAGAAGAACTGCAGCTTCTAGAAGAAGGTAAAGGAGAAGGAGAACGAGAACTGCAGCTTCCAGAAGAAGAAGAAGGAGAACTGCAGCTTCTAGAAGAAGAGGAGGAGGAGGAGGAGGAGGAGGAGGAAGAAGAAGTCTTTATTTGCCCTATATTTTTGGTCTCCCATAACTCTCAAAGGGGACAATCTTGAGGAATTATAGTTCAGGATCTTTGATGGCCTGCCTGAATGAGCTTGATCTATATGGTCACAGATGGCTTTTCAGTCTCTGAGACAGGCCAGGTTGGGGATGATTCAGATATGTGGCCCCATCCATATATCTGGATGGTGCCACACTGGGCAAGACTGGCACACACTCTAACTTGACTTGTTGAAAGGAGGATCCACACATCCATAATTCCCTAAACACTGTACACCACAATTAACGATGGTCTAATGAACTGCTGGATGGCTCAGTGGTTTAGGTATATGGCTGTGGAGCTCGGTTCCCGCGGTGCCTCCCTGACAGGGGCTGGACGCGATGATCCGTAGGGCTCCTTCCAGTTCTGCAGTTCTAAGATTGCTACTATTATGACAAATCCCATCCCTTGTGTAAACTGGAATAAGTCCAACAGTGTAAACCCAGCAACAAATGGCTGCTCGTTAAGGAGTCGCTGCTTGTATTCCTCATTATGCTCTGGTGCCATGCAAAGAGTGACTCCTTAACTAGCAGTAGTTTTTTGCTGTGATTTATGAAGTTCCACTTGCCTGGTGTAATGAGATCAAGAGGAACATGGCTGGTAAAGCTCAGATTTAGCCTTCCGTATTCTGGGTGTAGGAGCAGCCGTTTTGGCCTGCCTCTCCCCATGTGAGATCGCCAATCCATGTGCGCTAAGGCCATGCTCCTCAACCTTTGCCATTCCCCACGTTTCGAACTTCAGCTCCCAGAATCCCTCGCCATTAACCCCGCTGGCTGGGACATCTGGGAGCGGTAGTCCAGAAACATCTGGAGCTCCCAAGGGTGAGTGTTAGTACCCCGAAAGGCACAGAACAAAATCAAGGTGTCAACTTAGGCGGAACGGCCTCTGCCAAGATGCCGGATCCCCTGCAAATAGTTTCGCCAAGTTTGTTTGTCCGTTTTATTTTCCACTGCCCCCCTTTTTTTGCAATTAGGAAACAATAGGAGTGTCCTCCAGCCCTGTGCCGAATTACTGAAACCAAGTCATGTGACAGTCGGCGAGTGTGTGTTTCCAATTATTGCACTTGAGTCTCCCTGCCAGGTCTGAGAGGACAAACAGCCTTTCGAAGGAGCCTGGGGTTTTTCTGCTTCTTTGTTGTAAGTCCTTTTCAATATTTCCTTTCTTAAAAAAAAAAAAGAATGGCCCTCTATGCTGCCTCTCACCCCACGGCAGACACTCTTAGTTCTCCTAGATGAGATTACAAGAATGGGAAACATCTACCCATGGGGTGGCATAATGTGCATTTCGGTGTAATTTCCGGGGAAAACTTGAGAAAGGGGAGCCCTGAACCTCACAGCCTTCTCATCAAGAGTTGGGTACAAGAGGCTGAGTTTCCTCATTTCAGCCAATGGAGGTAAAAGCATCGAGTTTGCGGTGGCGATGACAAGAACTAGCATTTTTCGCTGCAACACTTTGCGCCTCGATCTCCAAATTGCACCGAACACGCTGTGCATTCGGACACCAAGCCTTCCACCGTGGAAATATAAATCAAGTGGACCCTGCTTCATGTCCTGGGTGTTGTTTACCCAAAGGACAGAACAGGTTAAGGTCTTTCAGGAGAAGGGAGAACCCACACACCCTGCAAGATCAGTTAACATTTGGTTTGGATTACAGAAACAAGTTCTTAGCGGGAGGGCCAGGCATCCCAGACAAAATGTGGCAAGCTGGGTGTGCATCATGAATGCGTAATCAACTGTATTGACTGAGGACTGCATTTGATCAGTTGAATATGCCTTCAAAATAATTTGCTTTGATAATAATGTATTTAAGGTGGCCGGAACGTTCCATGGTTAAGTATCTGGCTATAAAGCCAGATGTTGCACAACACATTTAGTAATGTCTTTGGGGTGAGTCAGAAGGATTTTGTGTATGTTCAAAGTCCATTGAACCTCCTTCCTTCCTTCCTTCCTTCCTTCCTTCCTTCCTTCCTTCCTTCCTTCCTTCCTAAAGAGGCCAGCTCAATCTTTAAGAAGTCGCTGGATAAATTTCAACAAGGGTTTCATTTCTGGTGTAATTGCTCCTTCTGTGGGTGTCCTTGTCACTTTGATTTATGACTGGCTTTTGTCCGATCCCATGGACAACATTATTATTTTCGCTTATGGATAAGCAGATTCTCAATTAGCCCCACAAACAAACCACATGGTCTTTGGCAGAACAACAACTTAAAAGACATGTGGTCGATTTTTTTAGAAGCTCGAGGGTGTTCCTCTGGTGTGGTTTCTTTGTTTATTTACTTTTATTCATTTATTTATTGGATTTCTATCCTGCCCATCTAGACCAAGCTCTACTCCGTGGCACCCTTTTTACAACTGAAGAGGGGCGTGGATGTCGCGGTTCTGTCCCAACCCCATAAAGCAACACACACACACACACAAAATGGCATCGCCCAGGGCCGCTCCTACCATTAGGCAGAACAAAGAACAGAGAATGATATTGAAGAGGAGATGGGGAGGGCAAGCAGAAAAGAGAAGTTGTTAACTGCATGCTTTTTGGGGTGGATCTTGGGTTTAAAATGTTTATTCATTTTGCATAATTAGATTCCACAAGAATGAGATGCATATGGTGTGTGTGTGTAATTAACTTGTAATAAAATGCCATCCTTTGCACAAAGAGTATGGCTATAGTTTCATGCTTAAAGCCATATGTTGAGACAGAACTACTTACACCGCATGAGAAATAAGGCTACTTTGGGGGATGGGGGAGGGGGGACACCTGCCGTGACCTCAAATTACTAGCTATAAAAGATTTTGCCTATTGCCTATGATGTCCGAAAGAGACACTGAAAGGAGTTTGTGTTTTCTGCTGTTACTCCCCTTTTCCCTTTGGTGCGGATTTTCTCAGACCATCCACCTGCAAATGAAGTCCATTTATACTGCTCGATGACCAATCACGAAACAAAGCACCCCAGAATGCGAGATACAGAGGTGAGGAAAAGCGTGTGTTCTGACCAACAGATGCCTTTGGTCACTGGATAGAGCAACACACCATTCCATGTCAAAGAACAAACCCTGACACTTATTTTTTAACCTGCAGCCATTTGCCTCTGAGATTTATGCCAACTGGGTTACACCAATGGGCAGAACTAATAGGATTTTGACCCATTTTTTTTCAAGTTCTCTCTGCAGTCCCAGCCAGTTCTGGATTTCTGCAGTTCATTGTTGCACAGAACTTTCCCCCCTTTTCTGCAATTTTCTCTCCCCCTGCAAAATAATAATAATAAAAAGCTGCTACAGGTGACTTCAGGGAGAGATGCCTTCTTATTTATTTATTATTTATTTACAATATTTTTTAGCCGCACCATTGCGGCTAAAAAAATCTAAGAGATGAAGGAGAACAGGGATCTCTCTGTATGTGTGGTTTCACCCTCTGTCCTGTACTCTCCGCGTCATGGTGATATTAGTCCTCCCCTGGTATTCTGCTCTGTTGTTCAAATTCACACCTGCCAGGGCAGTCCACTCTGTATCGTCACTGTCCTGACATGGAGAACCACCGGCTGTAGGTTCGCGACTTGCCCTCACCCTCCTTTCAGGTGGGCAACCCCTCGGCCAGGTTTCTCACTGTTCCCAAACATGGAGACCCTCTTAGAATCGTTGTGTCGTAATGAACCCAATGGGCCGTTCTTCTCCCCTGCAAACGTAGGAAAATTCAACACACTCTCACTGACAGATGGCCACCGAACCTTGTTTAACAAGCTCCAGCGAAGAAGAGTCCACCGCGTTCTGAGTTAATCCGCTGTCAATAGCTGTTGTTGTGTTGCTGTTATGCGCCATCGCGTTATGATGACCCTACGAATGAGCATTCTCCAACAGGTCCTGCTGCTCATCGCTTGTAAACTCAACCCTGTGGCTTCCTGTAAGGAGTCGACCCACCTCATATGTGGTCTTCCTCTTTTCCTGCTGTGTCTGCGACCTTTCCCAGTGTTATTGTCATTTCCAGAGAATCTTACTCAAAGGATATCCCCCCCCCTTAATTTGAAGTTAGAGCCTTCCTTGTTTGTGGTTTAAGTTTTGGTCATGCCCTGTGGAGCTGCAGATAACCAAATCGCTCCATCTTCCATGTGATGACCTTCCAGACCATGGCTCTTCATGCCTAGGGAGTGGGGAGGGGGGGAAGGACTGGAGCCCTCCCTTCTTTGCATGCTTATTTTAATTTCATTACAGAAATCCCCAAAGGGGACAAGCCCATTAGGAAGAAAAAGTGTAATAGGATTGCAAAACCTGGACACAAACGCTGTTTTAAAAAGCACGCATTATTTCCTGGTCTTCCCTTGCGCTTCGAGGCAGCGCATGAAATCAAGAGGTGATGGGGAATTAGGGCTGGCGCGTCTCCGGAAAGGAGAGGGGGAAAAATCCAAACAAAATGAGCATGTCATGAGACATCCCATTGCTCTCTGTGAATTAAAACGCCCGGTCTTGCATCGCGCATTTTTGGCTGTGCGTCGCTTTCGGGTGGGTGAGGAAGAAGAGACAGAGCATGGATGTTTACAAATGAATCCTCTCTCCCTCACCAGCTCTGGTGCTTCTTTCCCAGCCAGACTTTTCGCCGTGATCCTGAGAAGAAAGTGATGGGGACGACGATGACCTCTTGATGGGGCCCAGCCGGTTACCCGCTTGGGGACGATGGAGCAGCACAACAGTGCCAAGCATCGGAGGACCAAAACGCTGCGCTCCATCTCGCGCTCCCTCATCCTCTGTAATGGGAAGCACAGTGACGACGGGTCGAGTCCGGACGAGAAGTACCCCAACCCGTTTGAGGGCCCTGCCAACTGGGGCCAGGAGGAAATGGGCCGCTGCCCTCGGCTTCAATTAGCGTGTGCCTCGTCCGGCGAAGATGGCCCGCCTGATCCACTTATGCTCAGCGGCATGATGCAGCTGAGGGCGGCCGCCAGCGATAGCTGCAAGAATATGAAGAGGAAGTTCTTCGTCAAGGTAAGGAGGTTGTTTGATGACTCTCTGGACCTTCCCCAGAGACAGGCAAGATTCTGCCTCTCGCCTTGCAACGCGAATTTTGTGTCTGCGAATCATGACTCGAGATTCACAGGCACGAAACCCAAACAAAGGTTCATTCGGCAAGAGCAGAAGTAGCGTGCCAGGGGCATTGCACCCTACTGTGTAAATTTTGTGTCTGTGAATCGACATTCGCAGGCACGAAACCCAAGCAAAGGTTTGTCCGGCGAGAGCAGAAGTGGCGTGCCAGGGGCATTGCACCCTACTGTGTGGCTGATCCATCCTGGGCTTTCTGCCTCTATGGGCACCCCCAGTTCTCCTTCACGTGGTGAATGGATGGAGAATCCCTACAATTTTGTTTGATCCCTACAGCGCTACACATGGCATAGAGGGTCTTGAACCCTCCCTCTGAAGCAACGCACCATTTGAACTGTGTGCCCTCGGAAGAAGATGCTGGAAGAAAAAAAATATTTGATAAAGTGAGAATAATAAATTTCCAAGGCTGGGGAACAGGTTGCTTTCCAGATGTTGGGGCCTTTGTGACACCAGAATTCAGCAAAAAACCAAAGTTGGGAGGGGGTAAGGAGGAACAAGAAAACTGAATTAAATGAGGTTTTCTCACAGCTTAGAACTGGTGGATCACTTTGCGGTTGAGGCATCTGTCTGAGGAACCAGAGGTTGGGAGTTCGATTCCCCGCTGGGCCTCCTGAACAGAAGCTGGACTCCGTAACCCATAGAACCCCTTCCAGCTCTGAAGTTCTAAGATTGTGATTGTTCATATAACTTTATCATTTAGAAAAATATATATTTTTTAAAACGAACCAGCCATCCAACCCATTGTCCACTTAGTTTACTCAGGTTTTTTAAATTCAATATCAGAGTCAGCAGGAGGTGCCATAGCTTCACAAAGTTATCTTGTTTAATTTCTCCTTTGTTATCATTTGACGCAATTAGTCAGTTTCTCCATTATCACCACCGTCCATACTTTATTCATGCATCTTTGCAGAAAGAATGAAATTGCCCGGTACTGTAAAAATGCTAAAGACAGGATTATAACTTTATCAAATGTGTGTTCTGAAATGTAGGCGTTTCCCCCCCCAGCCCCGTGGTTAGGAGAAATCCGTTACATTTTAGGTCTCTCTCTCTCTCTCTCTCTCTGTGCCCCCCCCCCGTGGTTAGGAGGGATCTGTTACATTTTAGGCCTCTCTCTCTCTCACTCTATCTCTCCGGGTTATATGCAAGCAAATGGCACTAAAAACATATTGAAAAAGGCCATTTGGGAGGGAATACACAAACATACATTCCTGTGCATAGCTTCAGGAAAGGGGTTCATGAAATACACACCCAGGATTTCATGCAGGGAGGTGGGGGAAGCCTTGTCGCTGGATTTGAGACCTGGGTGATCTAGATCAAGCATCGTAGAGGTTTTGCACCTAAAACGTGTCGCTTTGATGTCTTCTCCACCAGGACAGCTGCATTTGGAAACTCTGTGTCGCCACAGGGAACGACGGGCTGGGCATTCAAGTCTCTAGGCCTCCCCATTGCTCAGCTCCTGGCAAAGAATTCACAGTGCGCCATGTGATCGAGGGAGGAGCTGCCCAGAGGTATCTCATGATCTTGCTTCGAAAATCCCATGAATGCAAATATTGCTTGTTTGTTCCCGAGAAGAGAATACCGAAGGGTTTGGAGACATCTCTCTCCAAGAGAATCTTGGCAATGGGGCAGAAACCTGGAAACCTTACTTTGAGGGTTGGAGGGGAGGAGGCTATGGCACCTGAAATCATCAACCAATATGGAGCTATAGTCCCCAAAGTAACTTTTTTCAAAGTCGTAGTGTACCCGGAGTGCAAATGTGCTCTCACTTTCCAATTGCAAAGCTAGCATCTTGCTTTTTAACAGTTGCATGTTTCTGTTGTTGTTTCCTAAAGAGACGGCCGCCTAAGCCCTGGAGATGAACTTTTGAGGGTGAATGGGCAATCTCTTAAAGAGCTCTCCAGCAAAGAGGCAGAATCACTTATCCAATCAGCAAAAGGCTTGGTAAATTTAGTAATTGCTAACAAGGTGAGCATCGATAGGCAGGCTCCAGCTTTTGTGGACCCTTGGCCAAGATTGCTTCTGGAGCTCTCCTCTCTCTGCCTCTGAAGCACTGACACCTCTTGGTCTAAACGGGGAGGGGGCCTCACTTCACTCTCCCAAGCAAGATCCCCTCCTGCTGTGATGATGAGCCATATACGCTCTGATACAGAGGAGGCGGGTGGCTCTCCGATTCTGGACAGCAGAGGATCCGCTCTGGGTTTTAGTACAAAATTTACAAGAGCTACGCACGATGCTGAGCCTTATCCCCAAACTAGTTTCAGCACCTTGGAGAGCTCCCTTAAAAGTTTGGACTGAAGCAAGAGACTCGGAAGGGGTTCATTAACTTACCTGAGGCGTGGGAGAAAGAAACCTCCCATTTGATGAAGACGGATGTGTGATATGTTCCCCGTTTAAGGGTTTCTGGTGGGAAGGGGTTCTTGGGCCATGTCTTTTTCCTCGCTGTTCCTGCCGGCTCCCTGTTTGCAGAGGTAAATGAGTCACTTTTTCCAAGCTCCGGAGCAGCAGATACGGCTTAAATTAATCCTGAACATCTTTTCTTCCCAGGAATCCTCTGTCTGTTCTCGCAAAGAACATCTGGCTAAACAGGAGGCACAAAATGTCCTGCAGACGAAAGCCAAATGCCTGAGGACACGCAGCAATTCAGCAAGTAAGTCCTTGCCTGTAATAATTGGCTTGGATAGACAGTAGGACCCCCCATATCCACGGGATCTGTATCCACAGTGGCACTGATCTGGAGTCTGAAAATATTAAAAAGATTAAATTAGAAAAACCAGAAATATGAATTTACAGAATGCAGTTGCCAGAACTGGCCAGTGGAAGGAAGCAGAGACGACACTCTATAGGTGATGGGTTGCCCTTTTGCCTCATCTCCTGGCAGCTTGAGGCAATTCTCTCTATCTTCTAAGCATCGTTGCTGCCAGCCACCCTCAGTTATTGTCCTTCCAGGTACAGGGAGAGCCCTGGGTCCAGGGTTCAGTATTATCCACGGTTTTTTGTATCCACAAGGGACTTGAAACCAATCCTCCGCAGATGTGGGGTGGGGTGGTGGACTATGGAGTCTTGTGCAGATCTCCAACTCCACACCTGAACCCCTTCAGCCTTAAGCAACGTTGGCTCTGTTGAGAACAATCATGGCAGGAGGAGTAAGTTTAAACCTACAGAACCTCTCAGTACAGATGGTGCTTGTTGCCCATCCCCAGATTTGGAAAGACTACGTGAACCAAGCAAGAGTCTGGGCACTTCTAGTGGTCAGCATTCATTCTCCAGTCATTTAGCCTTCCTCAGCCAGCTCGGTACCCTCCAAATGGATGGGATTGCAACTTTCTTCCAGTTCACATGCAGAGCAATGGGCTGGGGCTTTGTAATACCATCCTTTCATAGGATCCTAGAAACATGGAGTTGGAAGGGGCCTCTAAGGCCATCCAGTCCAACCCTCTGCTCCAGGCAGGAATCCCAATGAAAGCAGATCTGACCAAGGGTGGTCCAATTTTCTCTTGAAGGCCTCCAACTTTGGAGCCCTCACACACGCCTCCCAATGTCCTGGGTTCCGTTGTCGTACTGCTCGGACAGTTCAGAAGTTTTTCTTCTTATGATATTCAACCTGAATCTGGCTTCCTGTCACTTGAGTCCATTGTTGCATGTCCTGCACTCTGGGATATTTGAGGACAGATCCTTCCCTTCCTCTGTAGGACAACCTTTTAATCAGTTGAAAAATGCCACCCTATCTCCTCTCAGTTCCCTTTTTATGGCTCCTAATGGGATTGTGATGGTTTCATCCTTCTTCCCCTTCTTTTCCCCCTTTCTCTTTAAACAGGTGCGAGTCCCTACTGGGTAGGGGAAATCGACAACCCCGTGGTGAAGAAGTCCGCCTCCCGCTACAGGCAGTCCTATTCTCTTTATAGCAACAGGAAGTCTCTCTCTCAGCAGCTGGACAGCTCATCAGGAAGAGCCCCTGGGAATGTAAGAAGAACAGGGATAACCCTGGAGGGGCATCAACAAGGGGGAAAATGCTCCACAGGTTTTCTGGGCCCAGATCTGCTTCTTGTTATCCCTTCAGACTGATGAGCATGTGCAATGGGGCAAGGAAGAGACCCAACGGTCCAGGGTTTCTGCCAGGATTCCAGGATCTTAGGATAGCTGTTTTCCCCAGTTCTGGGCCGTTGCTTTGAGTGCTGGCCTGGGATTTGGCCAGTTTCACGTTTCGGCTGATCTACGAACACCGTTAGATGGTCTTCTTGGGCTTCTCCGTGTGTCTCGTACCCAGTTATGGTGAGAATAAAGTGAGGGGGGAAAGGAGACTTGACTGCCACCTTGAGGCCAACGGAAGAAAGCCAGGGTACAAATGTAACAACAAGAATAAGAACCATAAAAGTTGTGCAATCCTTTAAAAGAAAAAGAATCACTGTGTGCCGTCAAGTCAATTCTGACTCATGTGGACGCTGTTCAGGGTTTTCCAGGTAGAGAATACTTAGACAGTGTTCACCCCTTCTTCTGAGGGGGTGTCTTGGGACTGTGCAGCTGGCCCAAGGCTACCTAGGCTGGCTCTTTTCCACAGTGGGGAACTGAACTCCCAATCTCTGGCTCCACAGGTTTAGCTATCTAGCTCCAGAGCCAGAAATTGGGGGTTCAGTTCCCCACTGTGCTTCCTGCGGGTAGAGCCAGCCTGGAAAACCTTGAAGAGTTTAGCTGTCTGGCTCCAGAGCCAGAAGTTGGGGGTTCAATTCCCCGCTGTGCTTCCTGCGGGTAGAGCCAGCCTGGAAAACCTTGAAGAGGATCTCCGTTAGTCAGAGTCGACTTGACAGCACCTTCTTTTTAAAAGAAAAACAAGTGGGGGAGCCCTTCAGACACCACAGGACTACAGTGCCCATTATCCTTGGACATTAGGCCATGATGGCTAGGGTTGTTGGTATCCAAAAACATTTTGAGGGCCACAGGGTTCCTACCCTCTGCATTAAGAGGTAGGGAGCAGAATTCAGGATTAGACAAAGGCTTGTTTAGTTGAAATATAAGTGGTTCGATATCTGTTTAATTGGTATCCCGTTAACACCTTCCTTCCTGTTGCCTTTTGTCTGAAATGCAGCCCCTTTCCAGGTCTTCTCGGTCCCTGAGCACCGCCCAGCTGACACCCACCCTGTGCGGCTTGCAGGCTTCTGTAATCTCCAATATTGTTTTAATGAAAGGCCAAGGGAAGGTAAGATGTTAATGGCACTGTCTTCCTCCGGGTAATAAAGACAATGATTTGAACCGGTCGTGTTGGGTGGGATTCGGAGAAAGAAATCCCATCTCCTGCTTTAGCCTGTGTAGTTTCTAAGTGTGCTGGAAATTGCAGGATTCACCAATCCGAAGCTGCTTCATTAAATCTTCTGGCAGGCTTGCTTGCCTGCTTTCTCTACTGCCCATCTGGCTCGAAGGCCACTCTGTTTGTGGTTCACAATGAGACAAAACAAGGGTAAACAGCCTGAAGCGATAACTGCAGAAACAACACAATACTACAAAAATAAGTGAGAGGCATCTAGTCCTCATTAAATTTAGAGGCAGTGCAGCTGCCAAGAAGGTCCGATTCCTGATCTTCTCTTTCCGAGCGTCCCTTGGGGTCCTTTTCCTCAACCATCCAACCTGGGATGAAGGAGTGGGAGTGGTAGTTCTCACCGGAAGGCGGCGCCCTGCCAGATATCAAGGTCCCAAACCATTTAGGGCCTGGCATGTTATCATCATCGCCCTTTGGGACTGGCTCTCTGAGTGGGGTTTTAAAAATCAATTCATTCTGCCTTGTTGCTTTTAATTCTTTTGAAAATGTTTCTCTACTGCCTGTTTTTTTTTTTGCTTATGAACTCCGGTCTGTAAATCCCACCAGACTTTGTTATATATACACCAGTAAATCCTTTTGTTATTGATTAAGCACTTTTTAAAAAAAGCAGGGGAGAAGCAGATCCCGAGCAGCTAAAAATGCCCTTTCTCTGTGTCTTCTTCCCCCTTAGGGTCTTGGTTTCAGCATTGTGGGGGGTAAAGACAGCATTTATGGGCCCATCGGCATCTACGTGAAAACCATCTTTCCTGGGGGAGCCGCTGCTGCAGATGGCCGGCTGCAAGAAGGTGGGGGAGCCGTTTGCCCTTCCACGCGGGACGTGGACGGAACAACGGGTACATACGACGGTTTGCTACAGTTCTCTCTCTCTCTCTCTCTCGATCATGCAGGGGATGAGATCCTGGAGCTGAACGGAGAGTCGATGCACCGGCTGACACATTACGAAGCTCTGCAAAAATTCAAGGTGACACCACGAGGGTAACTGATGCACTGAGATCAATTCAGCTCTCAGATCAGCAGGGAAAAAAGGCCATTCAATTCAATGGTCTTTTTTTTTTTTTAAAGCAGGGTACCTCACTTGGCCTTCTTGAATTGTATCTGCTTGAGGGCTGGGTTCGAATTAAGTGTAGGTTGGGAATTCGATTCCCTACTGGGCCTCCTCACATGCCCTGGAGATGCCAGCACTGGACACCAGTGAGCACAGCTGATGATCATCACACTCTTAGGCCTGCAGAGCTGGAAGGGACCCTATAGATCATCATGTCTGGCCCCTGTCAATCAGACTACCAACCTTTGGTGCCTAAACCACCAAGGCATTCCTGTTGTTCATGGTGATTCCTTTCCTCCTGCAGGCCAAGAAAGGTCTTCTCACGCTTACGGTCCGAACAAGCCTCAGCACCCCGCATTCAGCGGCGGCCTATCTATCATCCCACCTCTGCCGTTCGCTAAGCACCAGCATGTGTCTCACCAAGGAGAACAGCTCCTTCGGCTTGGAGGGTGTGCCTTTCCCTTCGAATGCCACCAATCCCAAGGACAGGATCATCGTGGAGGTTTTCTTGAACAAAGGTAAGCGTTGCCCAGCTCTGAAAAGCAGAATGGATGTGTCCAACAGATAAAGCACCGGGGTGTCCAGAAATGCCCAATAACTGAAAAGCAGAACGGACCGGGGTGTCCAGAAGCACCGGGGTGTCCAGAAATGCCCAATATAGCCTTGACGTCTCATGTCGGCCGCAAGAGAGGTTTCCAAGAAAATGTGTACGTATTGGGGGAAATGATCTGAAATGATCTTTCAAAAAAGAAAGGGGAGAAACAAATGTAAATTTCAACAGAAGCGTGGGCAGATTTCAAGATTTCTGGATTATTGAATAGCTCCTTTTTCTTCTTGTCTATCTCCATCCCCCCCCCCCACAGAGGCTGGTGTGGGTTTAGGCATCGGCTTGTGCAACATCCCTTATTTCCAATGCATTTCGGGAATATTCATCCACGCCCTTTCTCCAGGTTCTGTCGCTCATATGGATGGAAGGCTCAGGTACGTCAAGGTTGGATGGTGTTGATGGCATGTTGTTGAGTACTAAGCTGGCTCTTGGGAGTGGCTCTCTGTCTTGGTCCGGTCTTCTGTTCAAACTAACTGCGGATTTTACAACATCCTAGGTAGTTTAGGCGTTGAGGGTGAAGTTGGCAAAACTTGATGAGCCGTTTCCATCGTTCCTGTCCCAGCTATTTTGGGCATGGAATATATCTACAGCAGGACTGTGACATCCACGGGGGGTTTAGGCGTTGAGGATGAAGTTGGCAAAACTTGACGAGCCGTTTCCATCGTTCCTGTCCCAGCTATTTTGGGCATGGAATATTTATACAGCAGGACTGTGACATCCACGGGGGATTAGTTGCAAATCCCGCCCCGCGGTGGATGCTGAAAATCGTGGAAATGGCAAACACTATGTATAACATGGACTCTGGCTACCTCTCATGGCCTGTTCTGGTAAAAACATCATGGGAATGTATATAGTTTTTTAAAACAAAATTTAATATTTTCAAGTAGCGGATCAGTGTATCCGCGGATAGCGATCCTGCAGATCGGAGACGTCCTACGGCATTCCTGGCTTTTAGTGGTTCTTACCAGTTAGCCTTTTAGCTTGACATGTCCCGTTCAGATGCCCAAACCACCAAGCCACCCGGCGGCATCAGAGAGGAGGTTTCCATAGCCATCCAGGAGATGCCGATGGTTGAAGCAGGAACATCCTCGTGTGTAAACCAGATGTTTTGTTGGGTCCATCAAGAGAGAAGGAACAGAGACAGCTGTCCCCTGTGTTGAGATTTTCACTGGAAAGGCTGGAAAACAGCAAATGAATTTGAGTGGCATGCACCCGGAAGGACTTGTGGTGTCGATCTTTCTGACTGCTGTACTGAAGTTAGAAATGTTTAACTAAATCATCAAAGTCAAAGGGCGGATTAAGCAAACAGGAAGGAAGGAGCGGTCAGCGTAAAGCAGCTACAAAACGAGGTTCCACCAGCCTGTTTCCTGCCGAAAGCATATCAGTAGCAATTGAGTGAAGTCACAGAAGGTAGCAGCAGGTGCTTGAGATCATGTCCTACGCACAGCATCTATTTTCGGCTTATTCACAGATGTCCCTCAAGCACCTCACAAGCCATGTCTGCTGTTTCCTCTAATTGTTTCAAAAATTAAAACCCCACAGATGGGTGAGAGCTCTGTTTCGGCTTTTGTTTGAAATGATTTTTTCCCCAAAATTTGCAAATTTCC